ATATATATTAATTATGTCAATTTTACATTATGTGGATTTATATATATATATTTATTTAAAATATATTAAAATATAAACAATTTAATTGTATTTAATTTTCACAAAATTTGACACACATATTTAAAGTAATATATAAAATTGTAATTCAACAATTATATTTATAAAATTCATTTTTTATAAAGTTATTGAACGGTATAACTTTTAATCATCATTACACTATTTAATAATTTTATATAAAAATAATAATTTGGTCAATCCATTCGCTGAATTGAACAAGCTTTCTTTATTATATCATACATACAAAATTTTATATTAATCTAAAATTATTTGATACGACATTTATATATATATATATATAGACATAATTATACACTTAAAAATATATTAAAAAAATGAAAATTTGATTATCTCCTTACATTTGTTCAATTTTAACAAAAGTTAACACACATATTCAAGATAAATAAAATAAAGTTGTAACTCATGAATAGTTGGATCGGTAAAATTTATTTTTATACAAAATTATTAAACAATGTAATAATTGATAAAAGTTAAATATCTAAAAAAAAATGTGAAAACCAAATAGAGATATCTCTTTATTTATACTAGTGGAGTCGAGACATTTCGTGCCTCTATTAAAAATAAAATAAAAATTAAATAATAAAAATATATTGATCTAATTAGTATTATGATTAATCTATTAGTTTCAAGTTCTTAAATTTGATTAAAAAATATTTTTTTAATTTTTTAAAATAAAAGGATATAATGATAAAAAAAAAATAGAGACCAATGTGGTTACTAAAAAAGGTATCCCCTTTATATATTAGTATAGATTATAGATGTATATATAACATTTTTGTTGTATTCTGTCAATTGGCCTTGACATATAAAGGTTTTTGAATATGTAATATTTATTTTATAAGTTTTGCTAATAAGCACTTTTTCTTTTATAATTCTGGTGCATGCCTAATATATTTTCTACGTAAGACTGAGAGATTAATTACTTTTATTTTTCATATATATACACATCAAAAATCAAATTTTGTTCGATATATTTTTAACAAACTTAATTATTTATCAATATACCAGGATTGGTTAAAAATTAATGAATAATCACTTTGAGTATATTTACTTCGAAATAAAAAATATTTTAAATAGAAAAGCACTCATAATATTATAAAAATATATATTTTTTACTCCTCAAATATAACTGTTATGTGATTTGGTCTCATAAAACTTCAATTAAGCAATTTTAATTCTCAAGTATTCTAAAAAAAAAAAATAAGAAAAAAAATGTGAAATTGTTAAAGCAGATATTTAAACCTTTTACCCTCAATTACCTTCAACAACAATATTAAACCACTAACTAATGATTTCTTTTTTATATGTACGTGTGACAGAAAGTTATAATAAATATATGATTGTACAAATATTGTGAGGATTTTCTACCTGCAGAGCATAATTTGACTTGACTTGGACTAATTCCATCAAACACTTGTACAGTGTTAATTAATGCCACGAAGAGACAGAAGTTACCTAATTAGATATGAAGTAATGCAGTTAAGGGTGAAGATAACTGCCAACCCACGTTAGAAATGGGTATGGATCGATCGTGTGGACCTGGGAAAGAGCATGTTCTAAGTCTCAATCATATCCTCCATGTCCCACACATCAGTCAAATCAACCTTAACTGTAATTTAGCCTCACACCTATTCCGTGAGTCACCATCCAAAAACACAAAACCCTTGTTACCAATTGTGATCATCACGCATCAACCTAACCAAAACCAACAAACTAAAAAACAGAAAGAATAAAATAAACTTTTTGTTGTAACCCAAGAACTTCACTAGTTCATTCAAACTGGCCCATTCCACACCATATGAAGGGCTTTTACACTTTATAATTTCAATCTCAATACATCATCATAGCCAATAAAGAATTAATGTTGCAACTAAGCTTCAATTAATATACATGTGTATATATATAAGGCTTTTATAAAGTTCATGATATTGATTTCATGACTTGCACACACATGTATAATTGTATATGATATGGTTTTCCTCAATAATGATGACGAAACATTTGGATGAAAGCCAGAGATATTACATTGAGTTGAAAGTAGACATGATTCTCCTTTGTTAAAGGAGACTTTTCACCTTTCTTATCTTTGAACTGATCTTCACATGTAACCGAGCTATCCAAGGTTGCGCTGAGTTTTATAGCAGCAGTGTCCAAATCCTTGGACTTGAAAGCAGCCACAACATCATCTAAATCTGAAAGGGAATCCTTGTAAAGATCAAAGCAATCTCTTAGGCAACCCTTCGCGTATGGATCATAACCTTTGTTCTTCAAGAGCTCCGAAATGATGGAAACCATGTTGGTTGCATTGGATTTGCTTAGCTGAATTGATATGCCCACAAGATCTTCGAGTTTGGTGGGTGGTGGTTGCCACTTTGAAGAAGCATCTTCAAGGGATGCAACACAAAAATCATACCTCACATTTGGACTAATCTCGGAGGCCTCCATGCAAGATTGAGTTATAACAAGATTGGAGCCATTTGAGCATCGAAAGAAAATGGTAAAGAAAATCACTAGGTATGAGGAGAATTTCATGATCATAGCTTTTTGTTTGAGCATATGTTTGTGATGAGAAATGGGGTTTAATTTGGACCGTACGTATAATAATGTGGTAGACACATTATATATATTTTATTGAGTTTGGTGTTATGGCAGGAATCTGATACTGCACGCTGATTAATGAAGGAAAACCTTGTCAAAGCTAAATCCAAATTAGAATTATGTTGCTTTCTGTTGGCATCTCTGTTCTGATTTGGTTCTTTTTGGTAATCTTTCTATAAACCAAGAAGCCGCTGGAAATTTTATCACGCAACGCATGCACAATTTTGTGGCTCTTATCCGTAGAATATCGAAGACACGTTCAATATTATATTAAAATAATCAGAAGTAACGTAAAAGTTAAAATTACGAGTCTGAAAGCAAAAGACCACGTTCTTTTGAAGAAAAATGAGTTACGCTCCACTTGGTTGTTTTCAGCAAAAGAAGGATAACATTGGGAAATGGGAAGTGATCAGATGGATTCAACTTTCAAGTGTGATGTGACTTGCCCTAGTGTAGTAGTGTGATGTATTATTAAGTATGTAAAAGCATAAAAATTATTAGATAGACTATCATTTCTATGTAACTTCACTCCATCACTATGCCACATACATTTTAAAATTTTTATTTTATAAGAAGAAATGAATAATATTTATTATCCTTAATAAAAAAATTATATAATTTAAGACTATCTAATAATTTTTTTATTAAAATAATAAGATATCAAATGTAAAAATAGAAGTTGACTATATTTATAAAATAGTTTAATTAAATCATAATAAATATATAACTATTTACCTTTTCATTATACATATCTCTCTTCACTCTAAAAAAGTTTATCTGTGATATCATATATATATATATATATA